CAAACCACTCCCTCCTCCACAGCCGCCTCCAGCAACACCCCCCCGCCCACCTCCTCCACTCCTACCACCTCTACCACCACATCCACCAACCCTTCCTCTTCAACCTCCACCACCATTTCGTTCCCCCCACCTCCTCCCTCATCCGGCGCATCCAACACACCGCCTCATTCCTCGCCCATCCACGTCACCCCTCTTCACCCCCCCGCACTCCCATACCCTTCCGCCCGCAACCTCGCAGGCGGACAACCACCAGCAAACACCGCCACCCCCAACCTCTCCGCCATCCTCCACACACTCGACACCCTTCAAACTTTCGTCACCGCCTCTCTCGACGCCATAAAGGCCACCATGTTGTCCATATCCAACCATGTCACCACGCTCGAAGGGGACAACCCCCCCATCACGGTCGTCACCACGACCGCAACTCCCTCCTCCACAACCGCCTCCAGCAACACCCCCCCGCCGACCTCCTCCACTCCTCCACCACCACATCCACCAACCCTTCCTCCTTAACCTCCACCACCGTTTCGCTCCCCCCACCTCCTCCCTCATCCGGCGCATCCAACACACCGCCTCATTCCTCGCCCATCCACGTCACCCCTCTTCCCCCCCCGCACTCCCATACCCTTCCTCAACCCATCATGGCGACCTCCACCATCCCCACCATCCGTCCCACCTATTCCCAAGTCACCTCCGAGGTTTACCCCGCAATGCCACAACTCCCCCCCAACTACCTCCTTGAGGACAACAACCAACTCAGACTACACTTGCTACGACACCACCCCCGATAACCTCAGCTTCAACACCCTCGCCCGGATCGTTCCCCACGACGGGGAAATCCCCCGTTCCTTTCGATCCGTCGACATCATGTCCTTCTCCGGCCTCCCCACGAGGACGTTTTCCTCTTCCTAACCCAGCTCCAGAACTTCCTTTCGCCTCCACCACATGCCCCTTGCCCACTGGCTCCCAATTGCCACCTCCCACCTCCTCGGCAATGTCGCCATCTGGTGGATGGCTCAAGTCAACAACCGCCGAGCCTCCGGAGAACCACGTCACTCCTTCCTCCAATGGGCCAACCTTCTCACTGCCACCTTCCACCCCCAAAAAACCATCGATGACTACCTCGAACAATTCTGTCACCTCCGCCAGACCAGTCCCACGGATTGCTTCGTCCAATACATCCGCTCCCTCCGCCATCACCTCCCCACCACCGTCATTCCCACACCAAGCGAGTATGCCACAAAGATTTTGCAACCGCCCTCGCCCACAAACCCGACATGCCCCTTGCTGACCTCCTCTCTCGCATGTTTCACCACAATCGACTCCTCCACCCCATCACCAATCCGCGCCCGCTCCCTCCCGCCCCCKCTTTTTCCATAACGACACCACTCCACCCACCTCCGCAGATGTCTTCGACACTGCCTCTCTCGACCCCTCCCAATTCACCATTGAGGACCTCCAGACCGCCCACCTTATGCGGACGGAATGCCAAGATCGTGCCTCCCGACCGCCTTCTGCCTCTCCACCCTGTCGTCCAAAAACTCACACCCGCAGAACGCATATACCTCCAGGAACACAACGGGTGTTTTTGCTGCCGCCAATTAGGTCATCAACAAACCAACTGCCCCAGCGCTAGCCACTTTACTCGACCGGCCCCTCGCTCCACGGGACCCGGCCCTTCTACTCCCACTTCTTCCTCCACCGCGACAGCCGGGCCCTCCCCCACCTGAACACTGTCCCCCTGTCTCTTGCAATCCTCCCCAGGCATCGACCACTTGTCTGCCGGCTCTCCCATCGGTGACGATCTCTCCTACACCGGTGGCTCACTTGGCATCGACTATCCGTCTGCCTAACCCCCCTCCGGTGACGCACACCCCATCGGACGACCCCCGGATGACGCAGTCTATTCCGCCTGCCCCCCTCCCGACGACGTCTGCTATCTTGTCGGTCGAGCATCCCACTGGCACCTGCTCTTCTACTCTCAACCCTAAAACCCTGTATAAACCCTGCTACAACCTCGCAACCCAACTCTACACACACCCTTGAACCCAGTCCACCCTCCACTTGACCCTGATTCCTGATGTCTGATCTGCCCTTGCCCTCGCCTAGCCATGTCCCATCTGTCCTCTCCACTGGCTTGTCTCTCTTGTCCAATGCTTGTGAACCTGCGTGACGCCGGCGATAAAGGATCTAATGGCAAGCGCACGAGGACGATGGCCTGCTGCCTCACTGTTCATGGAGATTATGCAGCTGGTTTGGCCACCATGCTGTTGCATCAGCCGGCATCCCGACTCGCGGACTTACTGGAGCAGCAACTTGTGACATGRATCTTTGCATCAGTCTGCGACTTCCTTGCTTACAGATCAGACCTCATTGCAGTTCGTGTACCGGACGCACCCTAGCACTTGGACTTTGACACTTGAATTACTACTACGCTTATTACCTGTCGCAGCCGCTGAAGACCGCTTCTACCACCTACTCCAAAGACCTGATCAAGACCGCCGCAGACCCCCTTTCAAGACACTTGGACACTTTGTTCCTACCTGAGATTCTGCTTCCGACTCCTTCGGACACACCAGCCCTTGCATCATGAACAAACATTTTCATTTTTATTTTTCCTGACTTTGACAACCCTGTAGAACATCATTAGCAGTTCCCTGTTCCACCTGACCATTGTTTCCCTTACCCACTAGAACATCAATAGATATTCCCTGTTCCCCCTGACCATTGTTTCCTTGACCCACTAGAACATCAATAGAAATACCCTGTTTTCCTGAACACCGTTTCCCTTACCAAATAGAACATCAATAGAAGTTCCCTGTTCCCTGAACTTTGTTCCCCCTTAACCTATAGCAAACCATGCAGTCCCCTTAGTTCATCAGTAGGACAACCCTGTTCACCGGTACCAAACCCTGTTCCCTCTTACTCCCGCAGCCCATGCCACCCACATTATACCCCTCTTCCCTTTCGACTTGTTAAACAGTGATCGGCCCCGTCCCGTCCTTCACAGATTTCAGCATTGCTTCATAACTTTTGGCAGCCGGGACGTTGCCTTCTAGAGGGAGGGGATAGGGTTACGGACTCCGCAGGGCTCGATCCCTGGTCTATCTTTTTGCTGTTTCGGCTGCATCTCGTTTTCGGCCTGGAACCCTTTTTCCAAACCCCTCCTTTGGTACCGCAGGATTTTGGACAACTGGCGCCATGCTGCAATTCGGGCGCCACTTTCAAATACCGCATTTTTCAGTTCTGCCCTCGGGCCCTTTGCAGAAATGCCCCCGGTACCATACATGTCACCGGTACTTATACCGGCTCCCCGTACGGTACGGGGACCAGTCTCGTACCAGTTTCCAGCTGCTGTACTTGTACTCAGTGTGACTTGCTGTTTCGGCATTCGGGAATCCAAGACTTCGACTTTGTGCCCTTACCACTGTGTCTGTGTCCGACCCTCAGTCGTGTCGAGTGAGTGAGTGTGTGTGTGCTCTCCCTCTCTCCCTCTCTCTCTTCTCTCCCTCGGCTCTCCCTCAGCCTCGCGCTCATCACATGTAGCATGTGAAAGGAGGGCTATTCGTCCTGCTGGCAGTAGTGGGGAGTAATCGGACAGTAGGAAATACTATGACCCTTACCACTGTGTCTGCGTCCGACCCTCAGTCATGTCGAGTGAGTGAGTGTGTGTGTGCTCTCCCTCTCTCCCTCTCTCCCTCTCTCCCTCTCTCCCTCTCTCTCTCGTCTCCCTCGGCTCTCCCTCAGCCTCGCGCTCATCACATGTAGCATGTGAAAGGAGGGCTCTTTGTCCTGCTGGCAGTAGTGGGGAGTATCAGACAGTAGGAAATACTATGACGGGAGCTAGGTCTTCTCCAAGGCTGGATGCATGTCACGCTGGGACGGACCTCGGTCTCACTTTTTGTCTGTGATGTATGCTCTTTCCTCAAAGTGAGGCTGAGCAAGGCACGCCATACATCACAAACCAAAAGTGACACGAAGGTCCCTCGCAGTGTGACTTGCACCCGGTTCTTGGAGTTGACCTAGCTCCTGCCATAATATTTTGTCAGACCGTTTGGATGGTATTTCGGGCCCCACCATCCACTTGGAATAGTAGAGGTGAGGAGGAAGGAAGTCCAAACTGGAACGAATCCTCGAATTTTGGCGATGACGGCCTTGCTCTTCATCTCCAAGGTTGGCGATGCACCTAGACGGTCCGTGAAATGGCTACCGGTGGGTTGAGAACTTACCCTGGTAGCGTAGGCATGGAGGCAATAACGGGATAGGACATGGAAAGCCTCGCATGGGCCTCTGAACATACGAGCTAGGCTGGGATGGGCTGCCATAGCCAGATGTCATACCAAGGAGAGGGAGGGGTGTAGGAGGCCGACGGAGGGCTCTTTATGTTGCTGGCAGTAAGGGGAAGCAACCGGGCATTTGATTGTTCCTCTTTCATCATTCTTCTTCCTCCCTTGTCTTATTCTTCTTCCAATCTATTTCGGCGGCGTTCCAATTGAACGGCATTGTCTCTTGTGAGTTTTGCATTGGGAGCTCACCACGATCAGAAAGAGATATATGCGCATATAAGACGCCACTACTCCCCACTGCTCAAAGGGAAGGAAGAGTGGGTTGGAGGAACAGGAAAGGCAGCTCGAGGAGGAGGGATGTGGATGGCATCAGACGGCCTCTCTCTCTCTCTCTCTCTCTCTCTCTCTCTCTCTCTCTCTCTCTCTCTCTCTCTCCMCCCCCCCCCCCCCCCCCCCCCCCCCCCCCCCCCCCAACACACACACACGTCTCAGTGGGCGTGGCCAATGGCAGGCACTGGTGGAAAGCAGTGGGCAGTGGGCAGTGGGCAGTGGCGAGTGGTGGTCAGCGGACATCAGCAGGAGACAGCAGCCAATGAAGCAGGGTGACGGGGGCCAGCAGCAGGGGATGGGGGGAAACCCCAGGTGACGGTGCCAGTGGCCGTCAATGGGGGGTGACAGGGAGGAAGAGGACAGGCTGAACCACAATTTTCTTGACTCTTTTCCTCCATTCCAACTCAGGTCTGTATTGCAACAGTGAATGGGTGTACCAACTGAACTACCCGTGTCGGTCCTGTTCGTGGCCCCCCAGATCGGCCTATGATATGGGCCATTCGCGTGATGGATGGCCTAGATCACACACCGATCACTGAGAATTCCGATCACACCCAAACCAGGCCGTCAGTTTATGCAAACGACCCAGATCTCAGGCCAATGAGAATGTTTTCTGATCAGCCTGCAATCTGCACCATTCGTGAAAATGGCTGGCCCGTGATCCAAGCCGTTCCTTATGACGAGTAGCAGTTTCTACAGTATTATAGAATCATTTGTTCAACCTGTCACAGAGTCAGGGCTGTGTCTGTTGGCAGTGTCATTCTGTCACCCCAGCCTGACCCCATATTGTTTAGAGGTCAGATATGGGCACTGGTTGGTTACTCAAGAGGTGGTGGCACTGGTGTCTGCAGAGTGTCCTCTTCCTCTGCAGCTACTGTCTCGACTACTTCTGTGACTACTGTTTCGCCATCTTCTTCTTTGTGAGACTTCGCACAATATGGCTGTTTGCTAAGTTCGCTTCCGTTGTCAGCCAGTGTGAGGCTAATAAGGCTTTCAAAGTTTGCTACGCGGTAATCACTTGTTCTGACTGCCCCAGTGTCACAGCAATCTGCTCTGTTCCGCTGCGTCATTGTCGCCTGTCCTGTCATGTCCAGTCACAGCCTGACCCCATACCCCTGCAGCTCCCACTACTGGTCCAAAAGCACTTGAAAAGAAAAAGAAAGGAGCCCACATTCCAGCTATTCTTGGTGGACACAGAAATGTCTCATCACTTCTCGGGGGAGAAAAATAAATTGACCCTTTTTGACATTCCCAGGGCGACTGGGCAGGTTGCCCAACTTCTCCACCTGGTAACACTGGTAAGCTAGGATAAAAAATGAAATAGGAAACCCCGTTAACTACATTACACCCACAAGCGGACCAGTGTTATCGCACTGCAAGGCTCAAAGATAATGCCAGATTCTGCCTGCTCAGGCTTATCCCCAGACGGATTCAGTTTTCTTTATTTAATTTCTTGTCTAACTGTTTACCTACCCGGATTACCTTGGCGGGTGAGGTCTGGCCTGCACTGGCGCAGATCCCCGCCGCCGCTGGGCAACCCCGGTAACATAGTTGTGTGTTCAATTAGTTTTGTGTTCACACCACATAAAGGTGATTGAACTGTGATTCACATATTCGATTGCATGAAATTTGATTCTAATCATTCTACGAAATTATAATTTATTCTCTTGTGTTATGTGATGTGGTCAGTTGCACCTCAGGCAGACGTGCTATGTGACTGATTGTGAACCCAATTCAGCAGGGAGCATCAACATGTTCCCATACACATGCCACAATGACAAAGCAGGTTCGGAGAGGGATTCACACCACGCCAGACAGAGATGTGCACAGCGGGCGTCCAATAACCAAGAAGAATTGAATGTTATGAATTTTAAAGGCCCTCGTCGCTCTCCAGCTCAATCAGAATCACAAAACTACTCTTTCAATAACCAAGAAGCCAGCAATCACAACCGAGAGTAAACCGCCTTTCAGTCGCAAAGGCAGACGACACACCATCCCCCACGATATGCGGAGAGAAACGAAATCATAATACCAAGCCAGATTCTCTTGCAAAGAAAAAGCAGTCCTTCACAAGGGCAGACACAAACCTGTCTCCCAAAAGAGGGAAGGAAGGGAGGGATGCTACTTACCAGTATCACAGGTGCCCACAATGAAATCAAAGCAGTAACATTTTTACGGGCTGCAGAACCGACATGTTACACAGCATAACAAGTTATCCACACTTCCGCACAAAATTATCCACATTTCCAGAGCAATCGAGCATATCAAAAACAAAGTTATCCACACTTCCGCACAAAATGAAACAAGCATTCAGGAATGTACAAAACAAGTCTGCATGCTCACTGATAATCAGTCACCTCATTCAGGGTGGTCACAACTTCCAATTCCTTTTTTGAAATTTTATCCCTACCAGAAAAGTAAGGCCATTTCCCGGTTCGGTGCGTCATCCTTGCACATACGGGCCCCACTAATCACCTCCACATGGTTCCAATCTTAGCAGATGCTCCAGGGCCGGGAGGGAAACAGTTCCCTTGGGCCCAGGACCAGAGGCTTTCCAGGACCGTGTTTTCCATTAGATATATAAGTGGGCCTGCAGCGAAGGACGATGACAAAAACATTTTGCGAACTCTCTCTCTCTCTCTCTCTCTCTCTCTCTCTCTCTCTCTCATCCTCCTGACTCCCACCTGATCTCAGAATATCCAAATATACACTATCACACTTCCATCGATAGGATGATCTCTCTCTCTCTCTCTCTCTCTCTCTCT